TATGCTACTAGTAAAGGGGAATGCTTACATCAGCAGGAAGTTATTACCAGGAGAACAGAACTAGTCTACAGTAGAGAAGGAATGTTTAGCCATTTCGGTCTCATCGAAATTATGTTTTCATACATATACAAGGTACCTTACCAGTGTCAAATTAATTTTAAATAGGTATCAAATTGATTTCCGTTAGGCTCTTGCGCTATAAATTGTATAGTATGTACGGATGTGTGCTTATAATTGACCGTATGGCCATTTCACCAGTTTCTGTACAACGACAAGTTAGCAGATGGAAGTGCATCCTCGATATCCAGGAGTTACGCTCACTTTCGCTCTCTACACCCCTGGAATATATCATAGCAAAACTGAAGGCACGCGGCTAGCTATTTGATTGGTGTCAGGTGAAAAAACTTGACCAATCACTAGGCTGATACTTGTCCTTTGAAGATTACAAAGGAGCGACGCCCGACTTCAAAGCATGTCATTTTTACCGCTACGCGACCGCGAGATTCTTTTGATGTACATCAAAGGACCAAACTAGTCTTCTCGTCTCATCCACAAGGTGCTGCACATTGAGCCTTCGATTTTGCTATGACATATTCCATGGGTGTAGAGAGCGAAAGTAACATTTGTTAACTTCATATTGTGGCCACGACAGAGACCATACCCCTATCCTGGATCTCCCAGAACTTGGTAAATGTCCTTTTTAACATAGTTATGAAACACATCAGCAAATCGACAATATCACAGATTATATAGAGTAACAACATCAAGCCCATAGTTCTAAAGCACACCAAGTGATGTACCGGGTCATGCATGGCCACTCCGGCCGAGGCCTTCACAAGCCTCTCCATGAGGGTCGCATTCCCGAACTTCAAATACCGTCTCTCCACTCTAGACTCCGACCTCTTCTTAAACATCTCCACTGAGTACTTTTAGCAATCTATATACAACATAAAGTATTCAAGTAATGAGTCACGTGAAGAAATTTAATCTAACTTCAAATGTAACCTTCCCCTACGGAAACAACAATACTAGATGTACCATATGGCAATAACAGTTACCCCTATCTGATTTGGGGAGTTCACATTCTCGTTCCTATCTCTGTCATCCATGACTGACCTAGTCGCCACTATCTGGGTACGTAGCCCTATAGCACTATTCATAATTCAACAGTCCCACCAATACACGGTGTTACCGAAATCGTAAGATTTGACCTCAAATGTACTTTTGACCAAAGCACTGCTCTCTATTGATACCCACTATCTTACACGATTAATTGCCTAATTTACAGTCTATTTTGTAACACCTATTATTCACGTTTGGGTATCGTATAGTTACGAACCTATATTCTTGTATAAAACAAACAATTTGTCCAACATGAAATCACCTGCAAGAACAGGTTGAAACGGCTGTAGGCATCCTCGATATCCAGGGGTTACGCTCACTATTGCTCTCTACACCCCTGGAATATGTCATAGCCAAATTGAAGGCTCAGTGAGCGCCACCTTGTTGATGAGACAATGAGACTATAGTTCGATCCTTTGATATACATCAAAAGAATCTCGCGGTCGCGTAACAGTAAAAATGATAGGCTTTGAAGTCGGGCGTCTCTCCTTTGTAATCTTCAAATGACAGGTATCAGCCTATCGATTGGTCAGGGTTTTTTTTTACCTGAGACCAATCAAACAGCTATCTTCGTGCCTTCAATTTTGCTATGACATATATAGCTGTAGGTAGTGACGCGAAAAGGAATTACTGCAACAAGGAGGAAAATACCATGACCTGTATTGAATGTAACAGAAATTGCTAAAGAGTGTCGGCTTTCTGTGATATACTTGGAAACCTGGGATATGATACTTTCCTTTTCTGTGATAAGTATTACTGCTTTTTATTAATATATGTGAGTATCTCCCTTTACATGTAATATAATGTGTTATTGTTGTTTTACATGTTTGTCGTAATAATAGCTCTCAAGAGCTAATGTTCCTTGTTTACCTATATGCGACGTTTAATAAAGTTTCTTGTATCTTGTATACGGGTCACAGGGAGCTGAGAATTTGTTACAGCTATATTTGGATCTTAACTAATGCTAAGGTGTTCGGAGTAATTTTACACGTTTTAGGGATTTATATCAACTTTCGGTAAAATACCAACTCCTGCTGATAATAATATACCCGTATATTACTCTGAACACCGTTGTTGTTTAGGTCTAAATATAATTATAAAAAGTCTGCAGAAGAGAAACCGTCGGCGCTTTCCCTAAACGACGGCTTCCGATTGCAGTAAAGATATAAAGATACACAAAGCCTCTTATCAGAATGACTATGGATGGGGATATACCTGTATTCATGATAGTGCTAACGGGAATACTGCCAATGGAAAATGGGAAAAGTTATAACAATAGCTAAATGTTTTCCTGGGGAGGGGGTGAACATCCTCTATACTAAAGGCGCTACACTCACTTTCGCTCTCTGCACCACTGGAATGTCAAAGCAAAATTTAAGGCATTCGGCTAACCATTTTATTGGTTTCGGGTGGAAAAAACCCCTGACTAATCGACAGGCCGATACATGTACTTTGAAGATTGTAAACAGAGGAACGACACCCGACTTCAAAGCCAGTCTATTTTACCGTTACGCGACCGTGAGATTCTTTTCTTGTCTCTTCTTCTTCGTCCATATGAAGGATCAGACTCAAAGGTTTGAGTGCATTTGATCCTGGGAGGTGGCATTAAAAACAAATAGTGATGGTATTTTTCACTATAAGATAAAATCAGTAAATACTCCCGGGTAAGTTGAAACTAGCAAGGGCGCATCTAAAAGAGTTTAGGTTTTGCTCCTGCGTTAGAGAATTTTGTAGAGAATTCCAATTTAGATTAGTCCTGGGGGTCTTTATATAGGTTTTTGTTTGTATGAATTTGGTTGATCCTGTGGGCCCCTCTTCTTCTCCTATCACTTGATGTTAAAAAGTAGGATGAATCGATACCAACATGTCCGTGTCTTCTATGAGCTAGGGCTCCCAGTTAAGCGATCCGATCATATTGGATACACAACCAGGCTCTATAGATCTGTGGTCATTAAACACATATCTGGTAGCCCTGTGCCAGAAATTTTCAATAGATTGAACCTGGTCTGAGGGTCCCAGCGTGTGGCTGCATACTCTAGGGTTGGTCTAACTAAGGTTGTATATGTTTGGGCTTTAACTTTTCTGGTGCAATATGACAGATTGCGTCTCAGAAATCCTAGAGTCTTGTAGGCTTTGTTAGTGATGAACTGTATGTGTTTATCACAGTTTAGATTGGCAGTGAAAGTGGCCCCCAGATATTTTGATAGAATCTAAATTGTCCAGTGTTTGATCGTGTAGAAAGTTCCTTTTTCCTTTTTAGAGATGTTGATAATAGAGCAGTTTTTAGCGTTAAAATTAATCTGCCATTTACTCTCCCAGTTTTCCAAAGACTAGAGATCATTATTAAGTTTGTGACAGTCCTGTACAGAATTTATTTCTGTATAGAGTAAGCAATCATCAGCAAAGAGTTTGATGTTGCAAGAAACTGATCTGACAATGTCATTAATGTAGACTAGAAACAGGATTGGGCCAACGACAGTCCCCTGGGGTACCCCTGAAAGGACAAGGGCGCTGTCAGAGCTGGTACCATTAATTATGACTTTCTGTTGTCTATTATTCAAAAAAGAGTAAAACCAAAGTATAATTCCCGAGTTGATACCGTAGTATTTTAATTTGGAAAGTAATCTTGCCTGAGGGACTTTATCGAAAGCTTTTGAGAAATTAAGAAGAGCGACATCAATTTGTTGATTGTAATCAAGGTTTCTTGCTAGGTCGTCTATTGTCAGAAACAGTTGGGTTTTAGTGTAGAATTTTGCCCGGGTGCCATGTTGTAAATGATTAAGGATGTTATATTGTGGTCGAGGTGAGCCGTAACGTTGTTGTGAATAATATGTTCCAATAATTTACATGTGATACAGGTGAGGGAGACAGGACGGTAATTTTCAGCAGCTTGTTTATCACCTTTTTTGAATACTGTCTCATCAACAAGGTGGTGCACACTGAGCCTTAGATTTTGCTATGACATATTCCGGGGGTACAAAGAACAAGAGTGAGCGTATCTCCTGGATCACTGAGAATGGGGGAACGGGTAATTTTTAAAATGTTTCATGGAGTTTTCTCCTCAAAATTCCCGACTGGATCCGGCTCAGCTGTAACCGAGTATCGATAAAGTATGAATTGTCAAATAATGTTAAAAATAAGACAGACTATATGAAGTATGTATTTGATGTTCAGGAAACGCTATATTTAAAGGAGCATTTTTAAAGGATTTTTTTAACTTTCATAGATGAATACATGTATCATGAGTCAATAATTATCAGATAGACGGCCTAGCCACGGAATTAGATTAGTTATCTAAGTCCGTGGCCTGGCCTAGGAGTTTAGAAAAAAGAGGTTAACTTGATCAGGTCCGATCGCAACATTATCTAATAATACGAAAAAACAGTAATTAAGGTTCCTACGGAGAAAGCCGAGAGTGGAATTGGCTTTTCCACAGATGTTTGATATGTGAGGTTAACATTTTTTTCAGGTTCGACTGTCAAGTATACGCCTAGGTATTGGCTTTGTCTACATGTTGTAACTCCTTATGTAGTAAGTAAGTGTGATGTTGGACCTGTGTGTTGTTTGTGATGGAGAGGATGTTACATTTGATTGGGTGGAATGACATTTCCCACGATGTTAGCTTAATTATCAAGGTCTTCGTGTAGGCGATCGAAGAGCATTGGAATATATACATAAAAAAGTATATCATTAAATAAACATCTTTTTATATATTAATTTTACTTATATGGAAGACCGAATGACGATTTAATTCAAATTTGAACACATTGAAAGCCTTTGAAAAGTGTTCGATTATTTGGCGCCATTTTCGTCATGTTGTCCGCATTTTCTCAACTCCTTTCCTGACGTTAGAGTTTCCCTTGATTCGGTTACTTCCGGTTTTGGTTTGGATAGCAGGAACGGGGAGCAGATGGGGTAACTTTAGAAGAATTCCTCAGTCACCTCTGTGTTTCATCTCCTGAAGTAGGTAATAGGTTTGTGAATAATAATATGTTTTGTCAAGCAATCATACTGTATCACAGAATATGTTCTATACAATTTGTCGTAGAATGACTAACCCGTAGTTACTGACAGGTGAGACGTGTTTATTTTGGGAGAGACTCGTTCAAGCTGTCAGACAGGTTTTAAGTATATTGTGAGAATCTTGGGGAGTGTAACAGTAAGTTAAAAAAAGTATTTTCTTATCATACAGACTTATCGCATGAACTGGAGTCGGGACTCGAAAATGTAATACATGTAATTGTTAGCCTGAGTTTCCTCTGGCCCTGCCACCATACTTTAGGTAGACATTTTGACAGATAGATGTCTGGTGTCAGGGCCAGAGGAAACTCGGGATATAGTTACGGGCGACGCATCATGTGGAAAAAACAGTCTGAAAAATAGAGTAGGAAAAAAACAGTGGACAGTTTCTTATGGGTATGAAATTTGTCCGTTCTGGAAAACCTGTTTCTTTTAATTTTCTCTTTCACAGATTGATGGCTTAGGAGGCAGTACCTAAATCGGATCACTTTTTGCAAAAATACTTATAAAATAAATAAATGTGTCAACAATGACAACAAATCAGTTACAACAATGATGTAGTCTTAGAATAGTTAGCCATGCACCATTTTTTGTCTACAGATGATTAGTTTTAAAGTTCAAATAGCACAAGAAAATGTAATTCAAACTCAAATGTCAGTGTACATGTTTTGATCACGTTTTTAAAAAATGTTGCATGGCACGACTATGCATTCTGTTTTGGACTATAGAAATAAATTCACACTATAGAATTACTTTTTGTCATATATAAATTATAAAGGTCATCATAATATATTGATATGCTTGACAAAAAAATATTCATTTGAAGCGTAAGATACTGCAAAATTCAAGCCTTGATCCAATTTGGGTCCTGGCATTCGCAAAAACCAGAGACGATGATTGGTGACTTCAGAGCATTCCATAAATATCTCAAGTGAGCCCCGGGAGCTAATTTCGTTTGTAACCACACCCATCGATATTCTTCCTTTGATACAACCATAAATGAATATAATTCCTCCTCAGATTTTTCAATGATTTAATAAAATGATGGTTTGGTGATTCGATTAGGGTACTGTCACCTTACATGTACATCAAACAGTCTCAACAAGTACAACATTCTCAGATTAGTTTATGTAATCATATCATGTCATCACTCACAGAAAATTGTATTTAAGGATTAACTTGAATATATTTTTTATGTTATGGAAATATAACACAAAAAAACGGAGTGTACTCTAAATAAACCGTGAAGCGGTTTATGATGAGAGTACACTCCGCTTTTTTGTGTTATAGCTCCATAACATAAAAAATATATTCAAGTTAATCCTTATAATTTAATCTACTATACACAATCCCTGTGGAAATCCACTTTTTTTGATGGACTCTTTTCTCTTAGAAATGATTACGCCGCTGTATCAGCCAATTAAAAGAGTTACAAACAGTGACGTCATTTTTTTTTTTACGTTATGAGCTGATAACATACCTTTTTAAGCCGATGAAAATGCTTGTTACAAGCAAGATCAAATAATTTTGGGATAAAGCTTTTTTATCTTTCTTTCTATGAATATTTCTGCTGGCTAAGTAGCCAGAGTGAGATTTTTTTGGTATAAAACAAAGATGGAACCACAGGTCCCTGTATAATGTCATAAAAATATGAATTGAAAAGTTCTGTTAGGACTTAAGCATTTAGAGAATTTTGATATCTTCGTGAAAACTTTGGTGTTGTCTACAGCGATACATATTTGAACCCATCAAATCTGGAAGTATATTCACAAAATTACAATGTGAAATGGACCCAAAACTGATCCTTGTTGTGTACTGAATATTATTATACATTCACATATTATTTTTTTTGGGGGGGGGGTGGGGGGGGTGGGGGAGGTACCTATATTATATATAAATGGATTAAGGAGATTAATAGATACAAATGAATATTTTTTGGTAAATGTGTGAGTTGTATAATTGTTATTTTTTAAGGCTCTTTAGTTGTTCTTTTAATTCGTTTCATGAAAGTAATTTTGAAAAATTGCACTGTCTTATTTTATAATTTTGATTTATGGAAAAAAATGATCAAGTTAATGATAGTGAATGTGTCGATGTTTTCAGGAAGATGGAGGAAACTTGCCCAGAGCAGATTTACCTGGGCAAGGTCACTCAGGTCATTGACCCCAGCAATTTCTGGATGCAGATTGGTACAGGTAAAATGTTTGATAATTAATAATTGTATAGGCTCCTTAACAAATAAAACAATGAGTGTTTATTGTATAGAGTCTAACACAGGTAAAGCAATCAATGATTAATGTACATATAGAAAATAAATGAAGAATAAAATCCTCTCGAACTGTTAAAATTTACAAAATGTTGAATAATGATAATTGTATCTAAAGATGTTTAAAATAACTGATATCTACAGGATACATGTAGTTAGTAAGAGTGACATATAATGATATTGCAGTACCAATGTATATATATATATATTGCAATATTTGTCTAGCAGTATACTTGCATATACAGTACATTTCACCTAATATCACGTCTGTTAATGTCACTTTTCGGTTATTATCATGTTTTTTTGATGCACCGTTTTTCCTGCTATATAATCTATGCAATTCAATTCTTTTATTATCACCTGATTTTATGTTGATTTCTCTTAATATCACTTTATTTTGGCCACTTCCAAAAAAAAAAATACAGGTAAATGGTGGTAATGATTCATGATAAATGCCCCCGGGGACCTTCTTTCACACCCTGGACGCATTATGTAAAGAATGCCTTGACCTAACAGGGTATTTTTTACACCTGGCTGACTGTTAAACAATAGGTTGACTTACATACTTGTTAACATAATATTCACCTGTGGTTGAGGAGCTAGGGCAGTCTAACATCTGTAAACTTTTCTAATGCCAAGTGTGATGTATTCTTTCAACTAATTATAACATGTGTACTATCTTCGATTACACACTTGCAGCAAATATCTAAGGAAATTAACCCATAAAAAGATGTTACTAGAGAAAGAACAGTATAAATATCAAGATAAAGGTAAATATTTACCAAGTCTCATGCTTACAATTGAATTTGATGCAGAATACCAGCCAAACACTTGTATGCCTACATCACTACTGCAGTAAACAATCATAATTACAAGCGTACTGATCGTCATTTTGCTACTTAACAATATGAAATGTAACTGCGTACTGAAATGAAATACAAATAATAAATTTATTTCTATACTTATATCTATATTTCAACTAGGGTTTAGAACAAGGTTAGTTACAAAATATCAATCTTCTTCGTAGAGCCACATCACTTAGGCATTTGACTAAGTTCACTTCCGGTTTTGAGGGTTAAAAAACATCAGAGAATATGTATTCTGTTTATGTCATGTTTCGGTTAATATCATGTTTTTCTCTGACAAATGGGAAGTGATATTAAGAGGAATCTACTGTATTACAATATCATTTTGAAATTGCAATATATTGCAATATGTTTTCAGTTAATTGTTTTGGGGTTAAACCAATAATAAGTAACAAGTTTGAATCAATTTTATTTTCAAATGCAGCCTGCTTGTTGTGATGTCTTCCAAAACCATATAAAATAATATTCCAATTCTCATTGCTGACCTGATGCTGCCTTTTCTTATTTCCTACCAGTGGTATAAAGTCATTGTAAATGCATATACATGTGTAAAAATTTCTAGGAGCACATTGACAGCATATTGTAATACATTGCAACCTAAAATAAAGGTTTCCACTATATTTATCTGTCTGTCTGTCATATTGCATCACTTTGTATGGGGTGTCTTATACTTATATAAAGTGTTTTCTATAATTGCCAAATTTTGTATGTGTTGATATATGATAATCTTAATCAGTAGTGTCTGCTTTATTGGGGAGTTGATCGTAAATCATAGGGATAGGTGACTTATTTATGTTGGTGAGGCAGGAGGTATTCATTGAGCTAAGTGACCCCCTATTACATAACAAAGTCCCTAGCCCTCTTTTTATCTCCGAGATAAAAGAGCCCCCATGTGGAGGGCATTGGGCTTTGGTACTGCAAAGCTAATGGCTATCCAATAGGGCTGTCAATCACCACTGATATTAACAAAAGGAAATTTTGTTCAGTTCTAAATCTTATTTAAAATATGTGAATCTGTTTTGATGGTAACAAGTCAACTTTGTTAACATGATATAGTTTTGTTTGCAAACTGTGGTTATAGTTAAATAAAACATGTATTCTAACCATACATACACTTACTAATTGTCAAATTACAATTACATATTTTACAAATGCAGTATTTTATGTTGTATTTGATACTTTTATGCAACATAATAACGTTATAAGATTGTCTGATCCCATTTAATCTGTCACCTAAAACCGTCGTTATAGTTAAATAAAACATGTATTCTAACCATGCATACACTTACTAATTGTCAAATTACAATTACATATTTTACAAACCTTTTTATGTTGTATTTGATACTTTTATGCAACATAATAACGTTATAAAATTGGCTGATCCCATTTGCTCTGTCACCTAAACCTGTGGTTATTGTTAAATAAAACATGTATTCTAACCCTACATACACTTACTAATTGTCAACTCACAATTACATATTTTACAAACGCAGTATTTTATATTGTATTTGATACTGTTATGCGACATAATAACGTTATAAAATTGTCTGACCCCATTTGCTCTGTCACCTAAACCTGTGGTTATTGTTAAATAAAACATGTATTCTAACCATCCATACACTTACTGATTGTCAACTTACAATTACATGTTTTACAAACGCAGTATTTTATATTGTATTTGATACTGTTATGCGACATAATAACGTTATAAAATTGTTTGATCCCATTTGCTCTGTCACCTAAAACTGTGGCTATAGTTAAATAAAACATGTATTCTAACCCTACATACACTTACTAATTGTCAAATTACAATTACATATTTTACAAACATTTTTATGTTGTATTTGATACTTTTATGCAACATAATAACGTTATAAAATTGGCTGATCCCATTTGCTCTGTCACCTAAAACTGTGGTTATTGTTAAATAAAACATGTATTCTAACCATGCATACACTTACTAATTGTCAACTCACAATTACATATTTTACAAACGCAGTATTTTATGTTGTATTTGATACAGTTATGCAACATAATAACGTTATAAAATTGGCTGATCCCATTTGCTCTGTCACCTAAATCTGTGGTTATAGTTAAATAAAACATGTTTTCTAACCATACATACACTTACTAATTGTCAACTCACAATTACATATTTTACAAACCTTTTTATGTTGTATTTGATACTGTTATTCAACATAATAACTTTATAAAATTGTCTGATCCCATTTGATCTGTCACCTAAAACTGTGGTTATTGTTAAATAAAACATGTATTCTAACCATTTATGTTGTATTTGATACTGTTATGCGACATAATAACGTTATAAAATTGACTGATCCCATTTAATCTGTCACCTAAAACTGTGGGTATAGTTAAATAAAACATGTATTCTAACCATATATACATTTACTAATTGTCAACTTACAATTACGTATTTTACAAACACAGTATTTTATGTTGTATTTGATACAGTTATGCAACATAATAACGTTGTAAAATTGTCTGATCCCATTTGTTCTGTCACCTAAAACTGTGGTTATTGTTAAATAAAACATGTATTCTAACCATTTATGTTGTATTTGATACTGTTATGCAACATAATAACGTTATAAAATTGTCTGATCCCATTTAATCTGTCACCTAAAACTGTGGTTATAGTTAAATAAAACATGTATTCTAACCATACATACACTTACTAATTGTCAACTTACAATTACATATTTTACAAACACAGTATTTTATGTTGTATTTGATACTGTTATTCAACATTATAACATTATAAAATTGTCTGATCCCATTTACTCTGTCACCTAAAATTGTGAGTACCTCTTGGAATTGTAGATTGTCAAATACTGAAATATTTGGTTAGGTGGGCCGGATCCTCTATCAGTCTCGAGCTCGGAGAAATAATAATGAGTATAACTGTGAGCATATACAGGGCTCCGCAAATAGCATTGCTCTACAGGTGTGGACATGTCTGAAACCCCTTTCTCTTCTATATATAATTAGCGTCAATAGAAAAAATGTAACTTCTATTCAATTCTAAATCTCAATATCTAAAGCTATTTTGGTGTTAAGTCAACATTGTTGTGTAGTTTTGTTTAAGAACTGTGTGTTATGTTGATATAGCTATTACCGGTCGATGTCACATGTTAACCTCCCTAAAATTCTTTAAAATATCAATAAATTTAAAAACTCTTAAAAATATCAATAAATTTCAAATTTTGGTTCCAGCAAAGTAATTACAGGCTTCAGAATAACACAAATGAGATAATACTATATTGTACAGTATTATTTCTGTTTTAAATGTCTCGTCTCACAAATTTCCTACTAATTCATAGAAAAAATCTTACTTTTTTTTTACCAAATCTTACTAAAACAGTTGTTATTTTTTTTAAACTTTATAACATTACCGGATTATCAAATTGTATGATCACATTTACTCTGTCACCTATATTTGCAAGGTTGTATTCGTGAGTACCTCAGTCTCAGAATGGCAGATTGTCATATATATCATATACTGAATTTTGGTCTGTGCTGCTCTACTGTTTACAAAATAATGTCTGTTTCTTGTTTATAAGGAGATGTGGGAGGATGGAGGTGGTGGGGAATGTAAATTGTAGAGATGGGTATTGCAAGCAGTTTTCATACTGCAATAATTTAGCAAATATTGCAATGTTTCATATATATATATTGTACTCCTAGAAATTTGGAACATTTATATTGATTTATAGAATGGTAGAAAATACGAAAAGTAAGCCTCAGGTCAGCAATGAATTTGGAAAATGATTTTATATAGCTTTGGAAGATATCGCACTTGGCCTGCTGCATTTGGATAAAATTGATTTAATCTGATTGTTATTTCTATACAATTATTTCATAACTTTGTTAAAACCCCCAAACAATTACTTGAAAACATTTTGCAATATATTGCCATTTCGAAATCATATGGCAATTTATGCATTGCTAGACAGATATCGCAGTATAATTTTGGTACTACATTATTATTGCTCATTGCAACTCTAGTGAATTAATACTAGCTTTGCTTATTTTATTTTCGTGGAACTGTTTTATTGGGAAATATTTGGATGTTTGCTATACTGGTTTTATATGGTTTATATATCTTTTGTATTTTTTTACAGATGAGAGTTTGGCCGAGTTTCTACAGTTTGAGATAAACCTTGAGGATTCCTGCCGCACCATGGGGATCAGTATAGATAATGTAGAAGATATTGGGATGGGCCAGCTGGTCCTGGTCGACTGCACAGACACGGACAGGATGTGGAGGCGGGGCCAAGTATCCCGTGTGGACAGGTAAGTCATGTTCATAAAACATATTTATAAAAGAGAAAATGTGCTAATCTTGACAACTGTTTCATAATTCTCTGCCTCCAATAACAGCACGAAAAAAACCTGTTCATGGATATACCCTGAAAGGCAATTCACAATGTACGTCATTTCACATATCTACAAGCACTTGCAATGATACGATGCGGTACTTATCACAATATGATGCCTGTGATACGATACAAATATCTGCTCAGTATGTCAACTTTATAATGATCAAGTGCAATTTTATCAAGTTTTGTCATAGATTTTGATAGTAAATGCTATTGAGATATATTTTTGTACAATTTCTTGTACTTTTATGTATAGTCCGAATTATTCTGAACGATATAAAAAAAGTCAATAAAACGTCAGAATAATTCGAACTATTTTATGTATAACTGCACAGTGGACCACATCTTTACTGAAGGATTCTATAAATATGATTACACATTTTTAAAGTTTGATAAAATCGATTGATAATTTAAGTACTGTTAGTGTATCTCGATACAGGTAAACAAAACAATTTGATACGATACACAAGAAAGTATCGCCATATTATAGGATACCAAATATCGTTGCAGCCCTATTGATAATATATATCTTAGCTGCTGATATCACAATTGCCTAAAATGGACCATACAGTTTGATATAAAAAATGTTCAGCTCAGTTCCATAATTGACCTCTTAAGTAAACTTCTGCTTAAGTTTTACCAGGAACATTTGTTTGATTATCATTTTTTTTACTAAATTTCTGTGAATTTGCAGTCAGTATGTAGCAAACTGTTATAATTTCGCTCTGCTAATTTTTTGCCTTCTAGCCTTTTAAAAACTAAACATTTACAATGTATATATACTATTTTCACCGCATGATGAATTTACACACTCATGCAAGTCTGTAAAGGGAATGGAAATTTCAGTTTTGAATGTAATGTTTAGCAGTTTTTGCTTGTGTTTCCAGCGACAGTGAAGCAGTGGATGTACATTACATTGACTACGGCGACACGGAGCTCGTCAACATAGACCGACTCTGTGTAAACCAGGAGGACTTCTTCTCCTACCCATCCCAGGCCCTGCGATGTTGTCTGGCTGGCATCAGACCTGTAAGTCTACACGTACTGCTAATGATGAATTGGTGTATAATACATACCTTTCAAATATGTGATTGATTTCTAACCAGCTCATAGCCAGAATTACTAGTGTTAGCTCTCGTGATTTCTAACTAGCTCATAGCCAGAATTACTAGTGTTAGCTCTCGTGATTTCTAACCAGCTCATAGCCAGAATTACTAGTGTTAGCTCTCGTGATTTCTAACTAGCTCATAGCCAGAATTACTAGTGTTAGCTCTCGTGATTTCTAACCAGCTCATAGCCAGAATTACTAGTGTTAGCTCTCGTGATTTCTAACTAGCTCATAGCCAGAATTACTAGTGTTAGCTCTCGTGATTTCTAACCAGCTCATAGCCAGAATTACTAGTGTTAGCTCTCGTGATTTCTAACTAGCTCATAGCCAGAATTACTAGTGTTAGCTCTCGTGATTTCTAACCAGCTCATAGCCAGAATTACTAGTGTTAGCTCTCGTGATTTCTAACTAGCTCATAGCCAGAATTACTAGTGTTAGCTCTCGTGATTTCTAACCAGCTCATAGTCAGAATTACTAGTGTTAGCTCTCGTGTATTCTAACCAGCTCATAGCCGGAATTACTAGTGTTAGCTCTCGTGATTTCTAACCAGCTCATAGCCAGAATTACTAGTGCTAGCTCTCGTGATTTGTGCATGGTGTTTAGAATAATTACATATTTGCAGTTAATTCATCATAGAGATACAAGCTATAAACAAAAATCACCATTAATTAGACTGTTAGTATTTCTAGCAAAATGTCCGTTTTGAACTTAATAATTAGATTAATAATTACCTAATTCATGATTATTTCCGTATCTACTCCGACAGTGACATAGATATTTTATGGAAATTAGTTTTTTGTGCACATTCATTTGTTTTCAAGTTCAAGGGAGGTAATTCTGTCTTTTCCAGAGTTGAGGATCTTCTGAATCTGCAGTCTTTCCCCCGAAAAGGATTTAAAAATCTCGATAATTATGTAATTTGCACACCCCTAACAATGAGTCTTTATGCTAACAAATTTGTGGTTATATAAAACATATTTTTGTCATCATCATTTCCACCAGATTGCCAAAAGCTGGACAAGCAGGGCCACAAAGGTGTTCCAGGAAATGGTGTCCAATGACATATTTCAGACTGTGGTTTTAGCATTCGAACCAGCAAGCTTCAGAGTCAGTCTTTACACAAAGTAAGAACAGCAGGTCCTGTAGGACCATGTTATATACATGAGGCCAAAACAAGTATGTTTCGGGTAACATTACTTTAAAAAATATGGTAGGTCAGTAGATATTTTTTTTTGGGTAGGGGTGAGGGTTGGGGTAATTTAAGAAATTGCAAAAATCACAAAACATAGATAAAATCACCAAACATAGTTATTCAGACCAATTGTATTTGGTTTTGATACCTTCCTATGAAATAGAGAGGTGTTGTAAAGATCCTTACGATTTTCGGCGTATTCGATGGGACGCTTAAATGCATTCAAGTGAGATAAAATTCCTAGGATTGGTCGGGGTACCAGAAACATAATTTTTTATGGCCTTACTAATACAGTGTATTATGGGATAGTTTACATACTAAAGAAATGCTTTATTTATTAAACATGTGACATGATATTTTTTATGTGGTTTCTGTAAAAGCTGTAGATTTCAGTATCTTATAAGTATTTTAACCCTTTTACCCCTATGCAACTTTAGTCGACTCTACCATGCATTAATCTGGATGAGTCCATTACGGTCTGCAGTGGTGAAAGGGTTAAATGAATAAATCAAAGTGTTGACACAAAATCACATGAAATTTTGAATAATATTTAAGTAACTTGTTTGCACATGATTTCTTTATTGTTCAACATTTTGAGGGAGAATTTAAGATCCAAGGTTGTCTTGACACCTATAGAAAATACGGAAGTAAAGGCATTAAAATCTACATTTGTCAGCCATGCTATTGTCTTCTGGGTAATAAGTTGATCATTTTGACTGGTGTTTTACAGCCATGGCGACGATGGAATTGCGGTGTCCCACCTGATGCTGGAGCAGGAACTCGGACTGGTAATATTGTTATGTAGATTTTGTCCAACCACAGCAGTTTAGTACTACTTCACTCTAATATTTATTTAACCATCCTCCCTCTCTGTTAATGGAAATGTAGAGATGATCTATAACAGCAATTTACTTGGATCTGGAGTTGATAACCAGTAATGATAACTATGATAGCCTTATAATAGTGAAAATTCATTCTAGGTCAATATATGACTGAGACAGTTAGATAGTTCACGTTCTCCCCTTACGGTGTCAGAATTTCTCTGTGTTGATACCTCTGATCTGTTTTAGGGCAAAAGTTACATAATGTTTGATTACAGCAATTTTAGGAGTCGGTGACTACTTTGAATAGTATTATGTTGCTTATGATATAAATGAATTTTATAGCACTTTTTTTCCATTTTTCCATTATCATGAAAAATATATTTCAAGATTTTGGCTATTTTGATTTCTTTTTGAATAGAATTAATCTATTACATATTCTGTTGTTCAGACAGTAAAATAATGACACTTTCATTGTATAATGATCATGTATTATTAAAAAAAAAAAACATGTTGGAATAAGAAACATGGATGAGGAAATGTTGGTAAAAAAATGCCCATTGAATTTGAATATTAGATTTATTTGAGCGTATGACAAAAACTATTTCCCATTCCGGCTGGAATTAATGAAGCTCATTGAAGCTTGTTTTGTAAAATTGACATGGAAACATATTTAAGATTGATAAGGTCCACTAGGTAATATAATATAATAAATGACTGGTATTTATTCACGGTAAAGTAATGTATAGGGCTTCGAGTTTGTGTGGTCACCCTTTTTCAGTTATGTGTTATCTGGCCCTCCTATCAAAAAGGTGACTCATTTGGGAGGTTGTCGTCTGAAATATTGAAGAATACTGAAGAATGATGTTACACTCAAATACCTATCCTTGTTTAGAATATCCATGTATACCAGTACATGTTAATTAAGCTTTGTGATGTTCAATGAAAGAAACTTTCCAGACATTGGATTTTGTGTCTGGAAACTAGAAGAATGATGTAAGCTCAAGGTCCAATCCTTATTTAGATTATCAGTGTATACATGTTCATGTTCTGCACGACAATTTATGAATTTTATTTTTACAGCCATCGGATGACGAAGTGCAAAGGTTGTTTGCTGACGCTCCCAAACATTTCAACCCTGACACATCATACACGCCAGCAGGTTTGTATATCAAGGGTTATTTCCCTTTTATTTTTTGGATGTCTGTGCCTTAATGCTTAATTAAAATTTTGTAATAAGATATGATTGGGTGTCTTTTCATGAGTAAACAATCAGTGCATTTTGGAAAGAAAAGAAAGACAAATTATGTATAAAACTGTCCATTTCCTTCACTGACATGAGATTCGCATTTAACTAAGCTAAAGTGTATATGATGTATGGTAGTAAATACGAAGTGAAATATTTGACTCCATCATTTATGAGTTGCGATAAAATCTTCTAAATTTTATACTCACAGACTACTCCATTTGGGGGACACCTGTGATTGGGGAGGAGCCCAAAGAAGAAGGGGCATGGCCCGATTCTGCTCCTGACCAATCAAGTAGCTCTGATTCTCCACCTTCTGCCTCCTCCTATGCCACCCCCATAGCAGGGGGAGACAACACTGATAATGAGTCGGAACCAAAAATCCAGAGCCATGACAGGTAGCTGAGTCAAAGTTTATTGTTAAAAGAGTTAAATATTCGAGTTGTTCGTTGTGGGTTTTCTCATAAATGCTTGTGTTTCATTGATTATGATTGTGTGGATTGGTACAATTATACAATTTATCACAGAACATCACAAAATCAAAAAGTAAGGTTACTTCAAGGTCAAAGTTTATTGTTAAATAGATCAAACCACTTGCTCAAACTGCATATATTTCTCCTGTTTGGTAGGACATTTCATTCTTGACTGCAATAAGTTTGGTTATAGTTATGAACGAAGGGAGACATATTGTATGGATCTTGCAGTATAACTGCATCACCTACAGATGATGTGCAATGCAGTGTCATTAGGTCACTGTTGCCTTTTACTCAAGGTCAAAGGTTAAAAAAGTCTGATTGTTTCAAACATTTAAAGGTGTGCACCAAGGTGATGCCAACGGTCCCTCACTGAGTCTAATTTTGCTTAAACTTAGTATGCAAGTATATGATGGCATTGTAAACTCTATCCAAGCATCATTTGTGAATATGGGGTCAGTTTTAAGGACTTCTGTTATGGTCCCCATTATAATTAGAACTTGTTAATGTATATGCATTTCATAATTTAGTCAGTTTCTCTAATAATAAGTTCAAATATTGCACTCACTAAACTTATTATCCACAAACTTTCCATCATAGATGGGTGAATTACCTTCCTCGTCACTGCTGTAGGTTAGGATGGAGAAAGGCCCTGAAAAGATATCACACATCAGTCATTAAATAAACCAATAGTGTAGAACCCAAGTAACACAAGACAGGCTTTAACATATAACTAGAATTTTGTTTTTGTGAAAAAAGAGTATGTCGTCCCTGAAGATATCCTGATAAGACTTGCACTGTGACCTTGACCTAGAGGTCAAATGTCAATCCAGGTCAGGTCAAAGGTCAAATAAGTGCAAAGTTTTCAGGAATATCTTGTCTGGACTGTAACTTTTAAGCCATTAAAGGGGAGACATACGTTTTTGTTCACAAAAACAAGTGTCTAATGTTGTTTTGACAGGTAATTTAAACAAGAGCAGGTCAATATTTGTAACCTGATCAGGATGGTGTGTAATAGTACCACAACTGGGTCATGAATACTGGACAGTAATACACTCTCACATAGCTGAATACATATACACTGTAATACACTTTATAATGTCATTGAATTACACCAAATTACAGTGTAAGTAACAATTCATATTAGAAACCAGAAATATTTGCACTGTTGTAAATACATCTTGCGTCTATAATTCCTGGCTTTTGATTTCGAAACAACTTTAACGTGAAAAAATAATAATCTAGTGGCCATTGTTCCTGTACTACTGGTATTGCTTGAATCACATTCAAGCTGGTTAACCTTTCAGAATACAACATTTCTTTAAAATGTTTCTTGGCTTCTGCTGTAATGATCACATGGTTGTCACATGGTGTTCTCCATACTACATATAATTGCATGTGTGTGGACAGTAAAAAGATAGTACCCCTTAAACAATAAGAATAAGGCGTTTACTGGTTTACACGTCCAATATGTTATCTTGCATTTTCTGTCTTTGAAAACTGTTGTCGTCTTCACAAATTCAGAAAAAGAAAGTCCTAGGACTTAATTTTTTACGTGATATGCTGTTTTGCTTAATAGTAAATGCCAGTAATAAGATCTTACATGACTTTATAAAATTAAACACTTTGATACATGTAGCTAAAGCATGAATTTAAAAATAAAAAAGTCAGATAATATGCCAAACTTTCTCACTAAGTCTTGAAAAATTAAAGGAAATTTGAATCATGACTTGAATTTTCAATCATGTTTAAAAGTATGAAAGCAAAATATCAAGGATGTCCATGCTAAATTTTTAAGATACGACTTTCTCGTTAACAGTGAGGACGAGGAAGGCAGTGACAGTGAAGGGGAAAGTCGCACACCCGCACAGATGATTCCTGAGTTTGACTTTGCAAGGATAGAGAAATACTGGGACACTTCCACTGATAAACTGCATGAGAAGATCCAGATAAAGAGGCACAATGAGCTGGAGGCGGAGAACATGAAGCTGAAGGAGGATATGGAGGAGCAGTCAGCTCTAACAGCTGTAGCAGGAAGTGGTAGGTCGTCTTTATCTTGCGCTCCAACTCTCTGCAGCGCAACAATTAATTTAAAACCTTGCATGTGTAATATCACCAGTCGTGTCATCACATACATGGAGTAAGGTTATGATAATATGATTTGCGATAAAGATAAATACAGCTTTTACCTTGATTTCTTTTGTAACTTTTCTAGTCAAATATTTTTCAACAGATGAGAGGATTTAACTGATTTATAATTGTGTCTCCCCTTCCAATGGAGGGAGACATATCGTATTAGCACTAGCTAGTTCAACTTCTCCTGGTTCTGAGCTGGTTCTGCTAATATGATCTTGTCCGGGCTGTAACTTTTTAACCATTAAAGATATCTTAATGAAACTTGAAGTATACCTGCATCACCCATAGACGATCTGCAGTGCACCTTCATTAGGACATTGTGACCTTGACCGCAAGGTCAAAGGTCAAATATGTGTAAATTTTTCAGGAACATCTTGTTCTGGCTTTAACTTTTAAACATTAAAGATATCTTGATGAAACTTGCAGTATAACTGCATCACCTACAGATAATGTGCAATGCAGTGTCATTAGGTCACTGTGGCCTTTTGCTCAAGGTCAAGTTTTTTTTTTTTTTTTTTTTTTTTTCAAAGTTTTTTTTTATTTTTTTTAATTATATTTTCAAAATTTTATGACATAAACATATATATAAATATACATACAATGTACATGAGCGCCTAGAATCGCCTTTAAATAATGTATATACTGTTCAAAATATTCTATCAAGTGTCAGTATTCGTCTTACATTATATATTAACAAATAGGTAAAGATTCACATTCTGATATAAAAAATAAACTTCCGGATATTCTTGTCCGTACTCTATTCTAATTAAAATTGTATTATAATCCAGTGTCTGATTTCCGGTTAGAGTCACGATGGTGAACAGACTTCGATTCGCACAAACGTTATTATATGGTAAATATTAGTATATGAAATGCTTCGTATGGTATAACATCATCCAATTCAGCGAGTTAAAGTGCCATGTTAGCGTTATAGTTCTAGAGTATGTGTTGATAATAGTCAGGGTATAATCTATTAAACAAAAACATGTTTCTTTTCCGAC